TTAGATACAGAGTAAAGCTCTCTCTACACTGTCCCCCATCAAACACTACCAGGGACGGGGACAGCAAAGTGTTAGATACAGGGTAAAGCTTGCTCTACACTGTCCCCATCAAACACTCTCAGTGAGTGTTGTTAAACATTGAGTAAAGGGTCAGTTGTAGTTTGGCGTGTCATGGCCTTCCCTGTGAGTCTGAATGTTATTCGCTGTGACCCTTGGCCTGTCCTCCCAGGGCTGCACTGAGGAAGTGCTGCCCTGTCATCGATACCATCGTTCCATTGAGCCACGCTGTCACGGCCTGTCTTGTCTGTCCGGTCATGGAAATGATCTGATGAGGTTATTGCAAAGCAGAGGTGAGGACTTCATCTGATTGTCCATGACCAACCCTCATTAATACATTGTAGATGACCAGGTCATTATCTTATTGCTGCCTGCTGGATCTTGCTGTGTATAAATTGGCTGCTACATTCCCTCCCATGACCACACTCATGATGGGCCGTGAAGCACTTTGGAACATTGTCCCAATAAGGTGTTAACCCAAGGGTCCACCTGCTCCATCAGGTTGACAGGGAAGATCCCAATAATACTTTGAAGACTAGCTCCAGAGGGATGTGTCTTGTTTTTCTGATAAATCCTTATCCCTATACTGGGCAGACAATCCATCCTAATACTATCCAAGGAACTAGTCAAACCTCAGCTGGAATACTGTGAACATTTTTCGTGCTCCTTATCCAAAGAGAGATAGGCTGGCATTGGAGGCACCCAGAGAATGTTCATTCAGCTGATTCCAGGTTTGGGGGGATGCAATCTTGCGAGGAGAGGTTGAGTAGGTTGGGCCTATACTCATTGAAGTTTAGAAGAATGAGAGGGGGCCTTAACATGCAAGATTAAAAACCCATCTGGTTCATTAATGTCCTTTAGGGAAGGAAACTGCCATCCTTACCTGGTCTGGCCTCCACGTGACTCCAGACCCACAGCAATGTGGTTGACTCTCAACTGCCCTCTGGGCAATCAGGGATGGGCAATAAATGCTGCCTGGTCAGCGACACCCTCATCCCGTGAATGAATAAAGAAAAATAAATTCTTAGAGACTTGACAGTGTAGATGCAGACAGATTGTCGAGAGTCAAGGGCCAGAGGGTTCATCTTAGGGTAAGGGCTCACCCATTTAAGACGGAGATGAGGAGGAATTTCTTCTCTCGGAGGGTTGTGAGGCTGGGTCATCAAGTATATTCAAGGCTGAGAGAGATAGATTTTTAATCAGGAAGGGAATCAAGGGTTATGGGGAAAGGGCAGGAAAGCATAGAGAACATTCTATCTGGATACATCACAGCTAGGTATGACAACTGCTCTGCTCAGGACCATAGCAACTACAGAGAGGTGTGAACACAGCCCGGTCCATTGCACAAGCCAACCTCCGACCCACTAACTCCATCTATACTTCCCACTGCCTCGGGAAAGCAGCCAACATCATGAAAAACCCCTCTCACCCTGGGTACACTCTCTTCCATTGGGCAAGAAGATACAAGAGCTTAAACACATGCACCAACAGATTCAAGAACTGCTTCTTCCCCACTGTTATTTAAACTGCTGAATGGACCTCTCCCATTTTAAATTGAACGTTGACCTCACTCTTTGTGCACCTTCTCTGCAGCTCCAACATTGTATTCCTCACTCTGTCCTATTACCCTGATGCACTCTGAATGGTGTGATCTGCCTGTACTGCTCGCGAAACAAACTTTTCATTGTGTCTAGGTGCATGTGGTACAAATAAATCAAGCCAAATCAAACAAAGTGGGTTTGAAGATGATTGGATCAGTGATGATCTCATTAAATGGTGGAGCAGACTTAATGGGCCAAATTGCCTATTCCTGCGCCGACATCTCATAGTCTTCTGGTTTCAGTGGTGTTTTTCCTTGGGTTTGCTGTTGGGTGTGATACCGGTTTTATTCCGATGGGATAGAGTTGAGCAGAGGGTCTGGATGAGTTGCTGGATGAAGGTGGAAAAGACTCCACATGTAAAAAGCCAGATGGAAACTTCCTGTCTCGAGGATAGATGAAGAGAAACCTCGGGTGAATACCTGAGGAGCATTTTCTCTGCTGTTGCTATATTAATGAAAGGAGAAAAATGGGGCGGCACGGTGGCTCAGTGGTTAGCACTGCTGCCTCCCACTGAGAGACCTTCACTCTCAGCAAACAAATATCAAAGAGATGTCTGATATAACAAGGTGTAGAGCTGGATGAACACAGCATCAGAGGAGCAGGAAAGCTGACGTTTCATGTCTGGACCCTTCTTCAGAAAAAATTTTTACTGAAGAGGGGTCCAGACCTGAAACGTCAGCTTTCCTGCTCCTCTGATGCTGTGTTCATCCAGCTCTACACCTTGTTATATCAGATTTGCCAGCATCAGCAGTTCCTATTATCTCTCAAAGAGATATCTGACTGCTTCCTGTGGCAGGAACAGCTGTTTCCTCTCTGTTTTCTCATAGAGTCATAGAATCCCTACAGTATGGAAACAGGCCCTTCAGCACCACTCTGACCCTCAGAGCATCCCACCCAGACCCATCCCCCTATGACCCCCCCCCACAATCTAGGCATCCCTTGAGCACTAGGGTAATTTAGCATGGCTAATCCACCCTAACCTGCACATCTTTGGACTGTGGGAGGAAACCGGAGCCCCCGGAGGAAATCCACGCAGAAACGGGGACAATGTGCAAAGTCCACACAGACGGTCACCCGAGGTTGGAATCAAACCCAGGTTCCTGGTGCTGTGAGGCAGCAGTGCTAACCACTGAGCCACCGTGCCGCCCCATTTTTCTCCTTTCATTAATATAGCAACAGCAGAGAAAATGCTCGATATTTGAAAGGTTTCCCCTCTTTGGTCATAAACTGTAACACAAAGCAGATTCGATGGGAAATACTTTCATACAGACACCTTGGCAGCCCCCATTCAAATGCAGTTGCCCCCTTGAGGTGACTATTCTTTACATTTCTGACGTTCATTTGCCCCAATAGAATCAGCTGGCACTTTCGGCTCGAGTCTCTGGGCAGGGCTTGGGGAGGCTGAGCACAGGATCTGATCAAAGTGTATACAATCAGG